TTCAACCTGTAATCCCAGGACTTTGGGAGGCCAAGGCGAGTGGATTGCCTGAACCTGCAGGTTCAAGACCAGACCAGGCAACTTGGCAAGACCTTGTCTCTACAATCAAAAAATAAGCCAGGTGTGGTGGTGTGCGCCTATAGTTCCAGCTCCTTGGAAAGCTGAGGCGGAAGGATCACCAGAGTCCAGCAGCTCGTTGCCGGGGTGGCTGTGAGTGTGCAACTGCACTCCAGCCTGGGCAACAGAGTGAGACTCCAACTTAAAAAAAAAAAAACCTATAGATTCTGTCAGATTTTCATTGGAGTCTAAGAATCACTGTTCTAAGATTATTTACAGAATGTGGGAGAACTGGATATAGTTATATCAGCTAAAGCTTGGTGTTCATGAAATCAAAGATATGCATTAAAGTATTTTTCTTCAGAAGACAGTCAAAGCAGGCCTGTCTGTATAGCTGCAGCAAAAACCAGACAGGAAAATGTAAGAATAGCTGAGAATTAGATTTAGACAGGCCCACTGTTTGAAGTATGATAACACTCAGTAGCTTAACAAAATAAATGTCTATTTCTCATTCACACAAAGTGTGGATATACCTAGTCAATAGTCAGCCTTCCATGTGGTCACTCAGGGATCCAATCTCCTTGCATTCTACGGCTCTGTCTTCCTGTGTGCTTAGAATCCTCTGCTAGAACCTCTGGGTCTAGACAGTAGATAAGGAAAGAGAGAGAATATGGGGAAGATTATATGAAGGGTAGACATCACTTCTACCTACATTCCTTCAGTAGGAATTCAGCCACATGACCAAACTTCACCGTAAGGGAGGTTGGAAAGGGAGTTTTGGTGAACACATAGCATTTCTACCCTGCATTCTCAAATGAAGCAACAGTACCAGGAAGCAGTGGGGGTAAAGAAGATATGCTACTTTAGATACTAGGAGAAAGTCCAGCATCACAGGCAGACCAAGATATTTCACAGACTAAAGGCTAGGAGACAGTGGCAAAAGAGGCAGGCTCAGAGGAGGTAGAAAAGCATCCAGAAAACAGGATGGTCACAGTGACGCAAAACCTGTGAGCAAAAATGCTCAGAATTTCAGGCACAGAGGCAGGAGGAATTTGGGAAATCAGTTGTCAGTTGTAAGTAGAGCCCTAGTCACCTAATCAGTATCTAGAAAGACCTAGGGGTAGGAATGGGGGATAAGTAAGGCCAGGCAAGAGCTAGGATAAAACAACCAAGATCTGGGAAGGCTATAGAGATGGAGAATGGGGCACAAGTACAGAGTCCAGACAGACTATGAGATGACTTGGTCATGACCAGCATGTCAGACAAGAGCTGTTCAAACTCCTCTTGCTCAAGGTCAGGTTTGGTCCTGGAGGAGTGCGGAGCCTACAGACAGGGGTGAACGGTGAGGAAAAGCACATGGAGCCAGAAAAGTCCTGACACGATCTACTCTCAAGTGTTAGGACTAGGGTGAAGATTAGGGCTAAGGTTTTTTAGTCACAGACAACAACCCTAACTAGCCTAGCTTCTTCGCACATGTCCTGGAATTAAACAGCATAATTTAGTTAGTGTAAACCCTTCAGAGTGGAAAGCAAAATCCCCACTAAGACAGGGAGGACCTGCCCTGGCATATTTGCTGAGAAGTAAAAGACAATAATAAAAATAACAAGTAACACATGCAAGTCTCTGGTCTCAGGCTTTATATGTATTTAACCATTTAATGTAGGTGAAAACCTAATGAAGAAGGTACCTTTACCATTCAGTAAAACTACTGTAAATTACCCGAATTTTACAGATTAAAAACTGAGCAATGGACTGGGTACAGTGGCTCTTGCCTATAATCCCATACTTTGGGAGGCCAAGGTGGGAAGATTGCTTGAAATCAGGAGTTTGAGACCAGCCTGGGCAACATAGCGAGACCACTTCTCAAGAAAAATTTTAAAAATTAGCTGGGCATGGTGGCATATGCCTGTGGTCCCAGCTACTTGGGAGACTGAGGAGGGAGGATCTCTTGAGCCCAGGAATCTGAGGCTGTGGGGAGCTATGACTGCACCACTACACTCTAGCTTGGGTGACAGAGCAAGGACCTTCTCTAAAAAATAAATAAATAAACTGACTTTAGAAGAAAATCCCTGAGCAATGGAGGCATATAAGTGACTTGCTCAAGTAAGTGGTAGAGCTGGGATTCAAAGAGGTTTGGCTCCAGAGACATGACCTTAACCACTGTACTACTATTCTTGCCTTTCTAAGAAAGTCAAATTTGGTATTTCCTATAAACTTTTAGTCATTCAGTGGGCCTGCCAGTAAAGACACACTCTGTAACTCTCCGCTAGTGATTGTATCTACCATTTTGTTTCCGGAAAGCTGCCTCATCCTTTTGGAATAAAGACTAAGCCATGGGACTGGACATGGTGACTCATGCCTGTATCCCTAGCACTTTGGGAGGCCAAGACAGAAGGATTGCTTGAGCCCAGGAGTGTGAGACCAGCCTGGACAACATCATGAGACCATATCTCTACAAAAAATACAAAAATTAGTCGGGTGTGGTGGCCATGCCAACAGTTGCAGTTACTCAGGAGGCTGAAACAGGAGAATCACTTGAGTCGAGGAGTTGAGGCTGCAGTGAGCCTGGAATGCGCCATAGCACTCCAATCTGGGCGACAGAGTGAAACCCTGTCTCAAAAATAAAGATAGTAATATGAGAGGGGACCCAAAATAACCCTGGAATTTATTGATAAAAAATTGTGTATTCGCTGGGCTCAGTGGCTCAGCCTGTAATCCTGCACTTTGGGAGGCTGAGGTGAGTGGATTGTCTGAGCCCACAGGTTCGAGACCCTCCTGGCCAACTTGGCGAGACCTCATCTCTACAATAAATAAAAAAATCAGCCGGGCATGGCAGCGCATGCCTGTAATTCCGGCTACTCGGAAGGCTGAGGTGGGAGGATCGCCAGAGTCCAGCAGGTCGAGGCTGCGGTGGCCAGGAGCAGCCACT